GTCTGGCTCTGACTTTTCCTTAGGTGTATTCGAGAGCCTCTTGACTGCTGAAAGCGCCTCAACTGGGTCTGACTTTTGCTTTGGTGTCCTCAAAAGCCTCTTGACCCCTGAAAGAGCCTCGACTGGCTCTGACTTTTGCTTAGGTGTCTTCAAGAGTCTTTTGACTGCTGAAAGCGCCTCGACTGGCTCTGACGTTTTCTTTGGTGTCCTCAGGAGCCTCTTGACCCCTGAAAGCGCCTCAAGGGGTTCAGATTTTTCCTTCTTTGTCTTCAAGAGCCTCTTGATTTCCAAAAGCTGTCTGCCTGGTTCTGATTCTTGTTGCAGGTTTTTTTCTTCCATTCCCATTATATTTCTTTCATTTAGTGATACCATTAAATTATCATGAATGGGTATTTGTGATACTTCTTCCAGTGCTGGAGACATTACATCTTGACTGCTCTTGTAAGCTCTTTTTTGGCTTGAAATATTAACATCCAAAACAGAGTTTTTTTCTAATAGAAATAGAAAAATGATACAGTAATGAAACTTCACTAACTACATTGACGAAAATGCATTTGAATGTGAAGAAATATTACTTAAAATAACTATGTATTTTTCTTTGTATGTTTTGGAATGAAACAAAAACATAAAAACCAAATTATACCAAGAATATTAAAAATGAATTAAGTCAAATTAAAGTAACTGTTACTTATAATGGAAAACATACATATTATAGTTGGGATTGAACCTTAAGCAAACTAGTATTTGAAACATGGCAACTTCTAAGTAACAGAGGACCAAAATATCTACAACTATCTAGGAAACCTTCTACCAATCAGAAGGGAAGTATGTTTATTCTACTAATATAAATTGTGAAATCAAATACAGAAATAGTTTTATGTATTTCTCCAACCTGACACCTAGATTTGAAGCCATTAAAATTGTTGCATCTTGAATGAATTTAATTATCTCAGTTGGGTAAATTATTTTTTCCCCCTAAAACATCTTTACAGGGTAACACAAGGAATGACAGGTTATATCCTGTTTTCATTATCACATCATCATAAAACTTTATTTAGAGAAGACCTTATATTTTATTCAGTATTTACAACTTGATGTAGCTCAGTGACTTAATAAACACCATTATTCTCTGCCTTTGCTCATCTGGCTTGTATCTCTAAGCAGATTCTCTTCTTACTTAAAGCAGCACAGTTGTTATAAAGCAACACCTGAAATTCTGATGGGTACTGCCAGGAAAGACTGACCTGAAATTTCTACAACAATAAGTGAAGAGCTCCACATAGCCTTAGCAGTTTCAGAAATTATCCAGCCCCATCCGATGTTATGTCTGTTGCTGAATTTTTAATTGTTGTTTTTATTTTTGTACACCCCACCCTTCTTATTGTTAGCCGCCC